ATGAGACAACAGGAAGCAGCCGCAGGATCCAGAGAGAGCAAAAAGCCAGAACGTCTGCTTATATACAAATGCGGGCCACACCCCCAAGGAGACTCTCTTTCATCTGATTGGCTACTCACAGTATATTCAATTATAGGAGTGATTACATTAAAACATGGAGAATCATGGCCTAGCCAAGATGACACACAATCTTAACCATCACAATGCCCAAATAGGCTGCTTGTATGAGCTAGTTTGATAATTGGCACCCTTGAAGCTCTAATGTCCTGTCACCAGGGGGTTAGATCTGTTACTATGTATGTGAGCTCAGGAGTCTGTCCACTCTTCCTGTATGGATTCATCTCAGGTTCCCAGGTAGATACCCACCAAGTGTATGGTGTAGGCTCTCACTTACAGTCCTAGACAGGGATGGGTGATTGGTGTAGGCACAGGCATCTGGCTGAAGCAAGAGTACACACTCTGAGCAAGGCAGGGGACTGATGGCAGCCTACGAGTGTCCAGGAGGAGGGCATTTCCCTGTTCACTAGAGTGCGTAGGTTGGAGGGTTTTGTAGCCGGACTGTGAGCACCTAATGCTGTTGGCTGTAAGGACTGGGGGGCACCTCTTATTCATGGACCTGTATCACAGGTGGCTCTAGTGGCATGAGTGGAGCCACCAGTCCTCAGGCCATTGATGTGGGTAGGTGAAGACTCTACTTAATGGGCAGAGCACTGTTAAATGTCAAGAACCTGCCACTTCACAGCTGAAATAGTTGAAGTTAAACTTCCAGTATATACCCTGTTGTACTGCAGTAATGAGGCCTATGCTGTTGAGATGGGCCCACACAAGTCTATGCAAGGGTAGAGGTGCTCAAATCCGTGGATCCCTTATGCCTGTGCCTAGGCAAAGGAGCTGTGCCTACCCTGGGTTACTGGCTTAGGGGAGCTGGCAGTTTATTTTTTCCTCTGTTTGTTAATTTGTTGACTCTCCAAGGCAGGGAGAATGTCTCTGTGTGTGTGAGGGATCCTACTTCCTGCCCAGGGGACTCGGCAATTGCTGAAGCCAGTCCAGGACCTCGTGCAGAGCAGGGAGTGGGGAGGCAAATGGGAGAGAGGTTTTTCCTTAAGGGAGGTGTTTTTGATCTGCGCGGTAGTACTTATTTTTCGCCAATCCAAGGCTGCTTCTCACTGGTTCTGCATGGCTGTGTAGACTCTCTGGTGCTGGGTCTCTCCTGGTGTGGAAAGCACACCTCCCCAGCACTGCTTCTGCCTGCCTCACTATTCACCCCCAAGCTGATCAGGCCTGAAGGGCTCAGGCTCTTGCCAGGTCAGGTCTGGCAACTCCTCGCTGCTTCCAAACCATCTCTCCTTCCCCCTGCCACTCACTCTGGTTCCTTAACTGTGCTTTTGATGTTCAGGGCTCCAAGATTGCCATATATAATCAACTCACTTGTTTTTTTAGGTCTTTGTTGTAAAAGGGTCCACTGGAAGTGTCTGACTACTCTGCCATCTTGGCCCAACCTCTGAGAACTTACTTTTGATGGATCACTCCTGTGACTGTTGATTATGAATCTGAGCTCTTACGGGGTTGGGGTTGAGGAAACAAGCCTAGGTCCAATTCTTAGGTCAATTTCTCTCCTAAGGAAGAGTTCTCAGACAATACAGATAGTGTAAATTCCAAATGCCCACTCCCCTTAACATGGTTATGAATTTTCTGAGTTTCAAAGGGAAGCTCTTAATTTTAAAACCTGCTCTCAGGATAAGGTAGATGAGAGTCATCGTTGTATCACTGTTGCAATAGGCAGAACCCCTTTAACTAAGTGTGATGCCCTTCTAGGTTTCTGGCTGTATATTAGAATCTCTGTTATAATTCTCTGTCTGGCCTGGGCTTCATCCCCCATCCCTATATAGATGTCTAGATCCTAAGCCCCTGCATTACTGACCCCCAATCCCAGGGCCAACAAATAGTTAGCTGATGCCTTGGACTTTTCATTTTATCCATATCAATAGAGATATCTCTTACAATCTTTGCAGCTATGAATTTAAAAGGAGGTTTATTGTACTTTATATAGTATATATATATATTTTTAAGAAAACCTGTTGCTGTTGAGTCGATTCTGACTCATAGTGACCCTATAGGACAGAGTAGAATTGCTCCATAGGGTTCCAAACAGCAGCTAGTGGATTTGAGCTCCCGACCTTTTGGTTAGCAGCCTGAGCTCTTAACCACTGCTCCACCAGGGTTCCATAGTATATATAGGTGTTTATAACAGAGAATTTTTATCCACTGGAAGCTTCCAAATGAATTTTCAATAATTTTTTTCTTAACTTTTATCATTCAATTTCTACTAACCCCAGCTGAGGGACATGAGAACACAGAATCAAAAAAACTTATAATACAAGCTAGATCCCTCATTTAGAGACATAGAGACTGAGACCCAGGGTGACTGTGACCTTCCTATAGCCACATAATTTGTTATTGATAGAACCAGGATGACCAACCAGGATGATCCCTTTTGCTTGCTTCCTTTTGCACTCTTTTATTTTAGTAGGTAAATGCTGGTCCCTGAGACGAAAGAATCAAAATGTCTACTGCAGCCGAAGTGAGGGCAACAGAAGGAGACATTTCCAACGACAGTAATTTACACACATCTCAAGTGGAAGGCTTCAGGAAAGGTAAAAATCTTGCATAGGTGTCTTGTTCTGGTTTACACTGGAATCTATGTCACCTCGATTTCCCTTTTAGTGTTACACAACAACTCTTGTTACCACCAGTGCCAGAATTCTATATAGCTACAAAGCATAGAAAGCAAACTGAATCAAGTAATTTATTACAGTCTAATATATTAAGAACAAGAAGAGATTATTTCAAAAATAAAAAATGGAAGGATAGTCAAATATTATCCATAGCAACTATATGACCTTACATGAACTTATTTAATCCTCAGCACAATGACATGAGGTAGGCACAAAAATCCCAGTTTTGCAGATACAGATATCCAAAGACACACAGCTGTAAGTGGAGAAGCTGGGATTGGAATCCAGGAATCAGAAGCCAGGATGAAAATACATTTGAAAAACTCAGATTTTCCAATGAAATTAAGAATAGCAATAAAAAAAAACCAAACCCTTTGCTGTTGAGTTGATTCTGACTTATATCAATCTTATAGGATAGTGTGGAACTGCCCCATAGGTTTCCAAGGAGTGGCTGGTGGATTCAAACTGTGAACCTTTTTGGTTAGCAGCCAAGCTCTTCACCATGTGCCACCAGGGCTCCAAGAATAACAATAGGGGAGCTTAAAATAATAAAAGTACACAGCACATCAACAACCACTAGCATAACTAATAGTATAAGGTGAGAAGCATTTCCAGTAAATTCACCTCACTACTCCTACCTAGCATTGTTTTGATAACGGCACTGAACAAAATTACCCAACAGAATAAATTAAGTGTTACAAGTGGCAGAAATAATTGACTATTTTTATTATTTACAAATAATATATATATTTTTTAGTCAAAACTCAAGTTAAAATAGCTGATGAAGATGATAGGAAAAAGAACTTAGTTATAGAAACAATAAAAAGTACTTTAAAAATACTGTGAAAATTAGGTGGAGCTACCATGACGCTATAGACAGAGCACCATGCCGTCCCTCCACAGCAAAGACCCAAAAAACTAAGTAAAACAGAGACAAATGTCGATCCTGGAACCCTAAGCACCAAATGAAGAGATCAAGAACTCAACCAAGCACTGAATGGAATAAGAAACTGACAGAGAACAGAGAGTGAGGAGAGATACGGAGTGAAGATCCCCTATCAGCTAATGCCACACGGATTCGCCATCTTGGCCTCTTCAGCCACCAAAAACAGTGGACAGGGAGTACAGGAAGACAGCTTCAAGGAACTCCCAGCAGGAGACAGAGCATCCGGTAACCAATGATACACGCTTTTGCACCCCCACCTTTCTTCCCCCTGCTTGGCATCCCCTGCTTCCCAGCGGGCCATGATAGCTCCACCAGGGAGGTGCTTGCTCCATGCCTCTTGGATTCAGCCCACCCACACTGGCTGGCTCGTTCAGTGCCATTTTTTTTTGTTGCTGTTGTTGCTTTTTTGGCTTCTTTTGGTTTCTTCTCTTTATCTCACCTCCTTCCTTCCTTTTTCTTGAACACCTGGCTCTATGTGCCATCTCTGCTAACTTCTTGACAGGCTGTGAAGTGCTGCTCAGCTGGGGAACCACTTCCCTGGTCCTCACCATGCCAGTGGGATCCCTGGGGACATTTTTTTCTTTTTCTTTTTTCCTTTTTGTGTTTCTTCATTTCTCTATTTCTTGTCTCTCTTTACTTTCCTTCTTTTCCTGTCTCCTGAATACCTGATGCTGTGTGACATCTCTGCCCCTTCTAGATGGGCTGTGTGGTGCCACGTACCTTGGGAGCCACTTCCCTGGTCTGCGCCACCACCACACCAGTGGGCTCCCTTGGGGTATTTTTTTTCTTTCTCTCTTCTTTTCTTTTCTCGATTTCTTGCCTCCATCTACCTTCCTTCCTTATCTTTCTCCTGAACACGTGGCACCATGTGCCACCTCCACTCTTTCTGGATGGGCTGAGCAGTGCTGCTCAGCTGGGGACCTGTTTCCCGTGGGCTCCCTTGGGGCATTTTTTTCTTTCTTCTTTTTTTTCTCAGTTTCTTGTCTCACTCTACATCTCTTCTTTTCCTTCATCCCAACCACCTGGCACCCTTTTTTCTTGGTTTCTTGTCTCTCTCTACATTCCTTCCATTCCTTTCTCCTGACCACCTAACCGCGTGTTCCTTTCTCTCACCTTTTTTAAAAAATCTAGTTTCTTATCTTTCCCTTCCTTTCCTTTCTCCTGTCCACTTAACTGTGTGTGCCATATCTGTCTCTTCTTGACAGGCTGTGCCTCACCATCTGAGCAGAAAGCCTCTGGCACAACTTCCCCAGATCTGTGCCACTCCACCAGCAGTCTCCCTTAGCACTTTTTTGGTTCCTGTTTCTCTCTCCTCTTTCTCTTCTTTCCCACACCCACTTAGCCCTACCCATCACAACCTCCCCCCTCCCTCCTACCTATTTGCACTGTGTGCCGAACATTGCACCCCTGAGCAGCACAGGCACAGTGTACTGGAACCTGCCCTGCACTGACCTCCGGCCCTCCCCTGTTGACCCCAGTACATGACACAAACAACCTATCCCAACCCCTTCCCTTAGGCTGGACTTGCCCTGTTGCACCATAACTGGGCAACTGGCCCTGTCCATTGACCAGGTGGTGAGAAATATTGTGCCTGCATATGAGCAAACAACAAAGAACACCCAGCCCACCTGCTCAGACATAATCAAATAAAATAAAAAATTAGGATGAAACAAACAAATCTACAATCAATAAATGAAGAAAATAACTACTGACTGTCTTGAAGACTACAGACAATATCAAAACATATTAAAAAAAGGGCAAGATGGTTCCAGTAGGTGTCCAAAAAAAAAACACCAGATTATCTTCCAGCAGAAGAAAAGTCACTGGAACTACCTGATAGGGAATTCAAATCTCTAATATTAAGAGCTATGCAAGAGTTGAAGGAAAAAGCAGACAAAAATGAGGAAAAAAATAGACAAATTCATGGTAAAGGCAGACAAAACAAAGGAAGAATTCAGAAAAATAATACAGGAACAAAATGTCAAAATAAATATACAACTAGAAATCATACAAAGATCAATTATAAATCCAAAAGATAAACAACAAGATTTCCGACATGGATAATGTCATAGAAGTTTTGAGGAGCAGGTTTGAAATAATGGAAGTAGGATCAGCGAAATTGAAGACAAATCCTTGGATACCATTTTGTTTGAGGAAAAATCAGAGAAAAGAACAAAAAAATGAAAAAAACCTTGAGAACTACGTGGGATAAAATCAAAAGCAAAAATCTGTGAGTGACTGGAGTTCCAGAACAGGGAGAGAAAAAGGAAAACACAGAGAGGATCATTGAAGAATTGTTTACATAAAACTTCCTTAATATCATGAAAGATGAAAAGCTGACCATCCAAGAAGTTCAACAAACTCCATATAGGATAGACCCCAAAAGAAAATCACCAAGGCATATCATACTCACACTCCTTAAAACCAAAGAAAAAGAAACAATCCTGAGAGCAGCTCAAAAAAAAAAGAAAAAAAAGAAAAAGAAAAATCACATACAGAGAAGAAACAATAAGACTAAGCTCTGATTACTCAGCAGAAACCATGCAAGCAAGAAGACAATGGGATGACATATATAAAACCTTGAAATAAAAAAATTACCAGCCAAGAAAAATATATCCTGCAAAACTCTCCTTTAAATATAATGGTGAAATTAGGACATTTCCAGATTAATAGAAATTAAGGGACTGTGTAAAAACCAAACCAAACTTACAAGAATTATTCAAGGGAGTCCTTCAGTTTGAGAACAAACAACGTCAGACCACAGCATGAATCTAGGATGCAAGACCAGATCAGACAGATACCAACCTAGGTAATGAACTCTCAAAGATAAATCAAAACTGAAAGATTTACAACAGGGAACCAGTGAGGTTAATCTGTAAATAACAACGCCAGAACAATAAAAGTGGGAATAAACAGTGTAGGTATAGAACTTTCTAATGGAGAGGAAGGCAAGGTGATACGAAGTAATAGAAGACTGGTTCAAATTTAGGAAGATAAGAGTAAATTTCAAGGTAACCACAAAGAAAGTTAACAAACCTACTCATCAAAATAAAGAAGAAAAACATAAAGTCTCAGTAAATACAAAATT